TGGTACACATCAGCAGTAGGCGTTTGAATTCCGGCTCTGGTAGTGGGAGAAGATCAGACTGTTGACAAATGATTTCAATGGTTTCATTGATTGGGATCATTGTGAACAAGGAGGTTGCATCAAATGAAGCCATGAACTTATTTGAAACGTTCATGTGATTCACGCTTTCAGCAAAATGAAATGAGTCCTTTATGGTGTGCGCGGCCAGCCTTTGGCGAATGGGTTCCAACTTCTCCGCGAGCCAACGGGCAACCTTATGTTGGGGAGAGTTGATCATCGAAAGTATAGGTCTCAGAGGGACTTCTTTCTTGTGTGTCTTTGGAAGGCCATACATATATGGCAAGCGGGACCCTCGGGGTTTCAATTCATTGTACGTGTTGTTGTCAATCAATTTCTTCTTTAGAAGATCTCTCAATACGTTTGTGATGCGTTTTTCGGTTGCATCTGTCTTGTCTTTCTGGCAGTCGTCGACTTTGAACCTCAACGGATCACTGAGCACAGTTTTCATCCTTGCGACGTAGTCATCTTTATCCATCACTACCACTCCTGAGCCTTTGTCAGGTCGCAGTATGACAATTTTGTCATTATTTCTAAGAGCTTTCAATGCTTTTTGATGTTCTTCAGAGAGGACTTTTGAATATGACGTTGGTGAGATGAGGTATTGATTTGCAACGTCGACCAGCTTAGATTTGAACCAGCTCTTCTTGTCTTCATCAACTGGAGTAAGATCATTCAGCTGATAGAATAGGTTTTCGAATTGAGCTGTGACGTCGGTTCTATTGACAAAGCTATTCGGGATATGGAAGTTAAATCCGAGGGAAAGCACTTCCATTTCTATGCGGCTTAAATTCACACTCGACAGATTATATACAAAATCCTCAGGATTTTCTGGGAAGACTTCATATATTTTTTCCTTTGTCAGGGATTTCGTCAGGGTTTTATAAAAATTTTCACAGGTTTTCTGTTGAAGCTCTTGAATGAAATTGATGAATTTGATCCGGCAAACTATGTTCAAACTATTGACGACACCGTCAAAGGATCTGGCTTCATTTCTCAATTTTGCAATCAGAGATTCTGTTGATTCAATATGCGATTTCGTAATGCGTCGGAGGTTTTTGAGAGAGGGTGGCAATTTGCAACTACGGAGTGACTTCATGAGATGCCGAGGAAAGCAGTGGGACTGCAAGCATTCATTGTAAAACTTTATTCGTGTAACTTCTCTGGATATTCTGCAACGAATTGTCACCAAGCGATCCAGTGACTTGAAAGATTCAGCGGGGAGGCGATTTTTGAGAAACTTCATGCATTTATTCCCCTTGATAAATTTGAATAAAGCGAGAACAACATTGATTTGTGCAGAATAACATGGTACCATCATTTATTTCGTTGGCTTCTCGTCAGCTGCTTACAGCCTAAATAAATTTTCAGGTTTAAGTACAGAAACGTTTTAACGTACTTGCAAATTTTACATGTTGACAGAAAGTTTCACAACTAGTAAACAGTGCTCAGAAAATTGCGCTTATATAGTTTTTACACAGGCAGTTCAAGTTAAAAAAAGGCCAAACAAAATCTATTCTTAGCGCTATCCTGGCTCATCTTGTGGATGCAAACAGAACATAAGATTGATGTTAACCAGGCTTTTAGAGTTATTTACCGGATACCAACAAATCTCAACTCCGCCTTAAGAGTTCGATTACTAAATATTGCTGAGACTGGCTGTTGGGATCCACATTAAGAAGCCTAATTTATGCGTCCAAAAGAAGTTAGTTCAGGCACTGTCCTTTCCTTGGCCATCTAAGTTTGAATGATCCTCAATTTTTGTGGAAATTTCCTAACTTTAGTTGATATTCTATTCGCTATTATATCTTTATTATTATTATTATAATTTAAGCATTTTTAGTGAACTGTAATTCCATTGTAATCTTACTTAACAAATCGATATTATTTAAAAAACACTAATATTTTTATTTACTACTAATCGAGAATATTCTGTGTACATAAACATATATATATATATATATAATTGTAGAGCCGGAAGTGGAATTTATCGAAAAGAATATTCTTTGCTCGATTATTTTGTGTTTTATAGATGTCTGAATGAATATTTTTGCTATATTGACTTATTATTGTCTTAAGCAATCACTTTCAACCAACGTGTCTTGGAGTTCAAGTCCCAATCCCACCTACTTCAACCTGCTTAAATCACTTGGTATCATCACTACTTACACAATAAGTGTAGCGTATAGCCTGTTCCAAGAAAACTCAGAGTTCCCAGGTCACTGAGTTTTAATCAACTGACTGGTTTTTTTAAATAGAGCTTAATATAATTACAACTTTCCAAAAGAGTGAATTCGATATTTTCACTGTTTGTTTTACTATCTAAACTCTAAATTATTTCAAATTTGATTACGGATTGATATCAGTCAGAGAGAACCATTGAAAACCACCCGAGGGAGTAGTATTGGACAACCCTGTCCTCCTAGTTTGGGACTCATTGGAGTACTCACCTACCGCCAGGGTTCGAACCCAGGATCTTCGAGTCATAAGGCAGGCTTTTGTAGACCGTTCAGCCACTGGGACCCGATAAATATCTAATTACAGTAGTCGTAGAAAAAAAAAGTATCACGGATTAATTATATGCTAAATCATTGGATCCATTAATGAGCGGTAATCAACGTGGTGAAAGCTGATTGGCTGGCTATCTGATTAATGTATGGGGAATCAATATTTGCATGATTTAAATTCTGATTGACAGACTATCGAGCTAGTCTGTAGTTTATACATAACACCTTTTGAGTTGTGTATGGTACAAACAGAGAATTTCATTTTCACTTTTTTCAATACTTAATGGTTTAGTTAGTACATTAAATGTATCAATAGTTCATACTGTTGTATCTCATCTCCTAAGTTATTGTGGGATTTCATTCACCTATAAGAAAAGATTGCAAACTGGTATAGCTTACTCCCATAGCTTATAGTCAGTGACGTTTTTCTCAAGTCTTCAAGTGTTGGCTTACGGAGCTCTGATTGGTTTCCAAATAGGTCATAAGTAGACATAAGTTAGCTGTTTCGTCCCATCTCCAGACTCTTCTGCAATGCAAACTCATAATCCTGCGGGAAGCTTGTTGACCACCCCTCAGCAATTAAGACAAACTGCAATTGTCCATGAATACTGACTATACCTGCCTGTAGTACTCTCTGGTTTCCAATCATCCTCGTGCTGATATCAGTCGATAACCCGGCTTGTTTCACGGAGTTTTTATACTTCTTAGTTGAAACCATGGATACACACTGAAGAGACCGTTGGCTGACATCAGGCGCCAGGCCACCCTAGTGGAACCTGAATGGGAAACGATGAGTTGGGCGTCCGAGAGTGACATAGAAGAGATCCTGTGAGGAGAAGATAAGGGCCTATAGACAAGCGTCGGACCAGCTGAAGCGGACTTCAGAGAACAGAAAAAAGTGGAGATATAATAGAGAAGATTTGTAGCTCAGGTGGATGATTTGCAATTAATAGTGTTCTCTGAGCTCCTTGGTTTATTTGCGGAGCTTTCGTCGTCCTTCTGGACAACATCTTCAGTGCAATATTTAGCATTAAGTGAAACAATTTAAATTTCTTCATGAGTGATATAATTGCGTCTTTACATATCTATGGACCGTTTTCTGTTGACTCGGATTTTAAACTTTCTGGTCACCTGATTTACCTTTTATTAGTTGTATATTTCGTCTATATTAACGTGTTTATTAATTGCGTTTTCATTTGAGTACCAGGCTTCTAGGAATTCTCTGGCACATTTGGTGTTTCCTCTGTCTAAGATTTCCACATTATCCCAATCAAATTGATGTCCATGATCGTCTGAATGTATTGATACTAAAGAATTTATATCATGTCTTTTCACGGCTGATTTGTGTTCCTGGATTCTTATTCGAAGGGGACGTCCACTTTGGCCGATGTAATGCCTGTTACAGTTCACACAATTTATTTTGTAGATGGTGTTAATTTTATCCCCTTTTCCTTCCTGTTGGATCTTTCGGTATGCACAATATCAAATGAAGGGATTTGCTGACTGGTTTGTGTGCTATATCTATATCAAACGGTTTCAGTATTCTAGTTGTTATTTCAGAGATATTTCTCATGTATGGTAGGACGAATTTTCTGGTGGTCTTTGATGATGGTGTCTTGTTGGTGCTGTGATTCGACTTTAAACACTTTGATGAAATTTTTTGGATAACCATTCTTTTTGAAGACCGTTTTGTAGGTATTTTTCTTCCATTCTTTTCAACTCTGGAATGCTACAGTGTGTTTGAATTCTTCTAAACAATGTCTGCACACAGTTTCGTTTGTGAGTAATTGGATTATTGCTAGTATAGTTGAGTATTTGATCTGTGTGCGCGTTGATTTTCTATATACTTGTGTTTCTAAATTTCCTGTGTTGGTTCTCCTGATTAAGACATCTAAAAATGGATTTTGTTATCTAATTCTTCTTCTCTTGTGGTGAATTTGATGTCTTCCGCTATGTTGTTTATCAATTTATGGGTAATATTCTAAATCATTTCTCTTAATTATTACAAATGTATCATCAACGTAACGTACCCAGATTTTCGGTTTAATTATAGGTAGAGCTATTAATTCTAATCTTTGCATAACGGCTTCAGCTATTAATCCTGATATGGGCGATGATCCCATTGGTGTTCCTTTTATTTGTTCATATTACAAACATATTGTGCATACGGTAGATAAGTTCATAGCAGGATACCCACCGCATTTCAAACTTCCTGGACTTTACATTATTGACTCCATTGTTAGACAGTCTCAACACTTTTATCGAGAAAAAGATGTTTATGGGCCGAGATTTTTACGAAACTTAGTGTCCGTTTTCATCTCTGTTTTGCAGTGTGATGAGAAAGACAAGCCTATGGTATCTCATTTATTGTACTTATGGGAGAGTTCTTCCGTCTTCCCAAAAGAAGTATTATATGCTCTAAATGATATTAAAAAGATCCGGAAAACCCAAAAGTCATAGAAAAAGCGGAAGAAGTTGTCCGTGCTGCTCTACTTAAATTGTCAAATCATAATGTAGCAGATACTAAAATGCAGTTGCTACCTCTACAAAATCATTCAGTTTTAAATAATAATAGCAGTCCAAAAATGTACAGTATGCTGCTTTTGAGGACACTAATAATAAATGTTCTAAAAAAGCTCAAGTGCAAGGGTCCAGTTACTTCAGTTACAAGCCCTTCAGAAAAAGATCGCTGAACAGTCGGCTTTACTCAACGAAGAGCGAACAATCGATCCTGAAGTGCTTACTCAAATTCATATCCTTATGTCAGAGTTGACCAGGCGGGCTGAAGTAGCCGCAGCACAGCTTGCAGATAAAGAAAATGCCGATGAAGATTTAAATGTTATTGATCCAAATCTGTTGGCACGTATACAATCTATGGTTGATACACTTGCGCATACTCGTGTACTACAAGAACAGCTGAATGAAGCACTTGCGAC